TTTAGTACAATTTAGAGAATCATATACATTTTCGTAATTTAAGGAAATGAAGTTTAATATAAAATTTAATTTAATTCACGTGATTCATCTGTCATCAATTCAATGCGGTTTAACGGAACTTTTCCGACGATTATGAACGTTTTAATTTATTTAAATTGATGTGTAAATGTGTATGGCTTCGAAAGTTGCTAGTCCTTTATTAGTATTGGGAAAAAAATATTTATAAACAAAGAGCAAGACTATGGTTTAATAATATATTGGTAATGTATTTAGTAAACTGAATGTATATACATAAGCTTCCGCAGATCGAATCATCTGGTTCGTTAACATTTCTTAAAACAGCAAAATCTATGAATAAATAAAAGGAAAAAAGAGAACAATATACATTTTATCTCTATTTCTTTATGATTCCAGTTTAACAGTTTCGATTTAAACCTGATTTCATAGGATTACAAAGTAAGCAAAGTAAATGTGTTTCATTACACATTGCTCCATATCTTATTACATATAGTAATAGCATAGGTTAGGTTAGATTATACCGGCGATCCCTAGTGAATCCACTTAGGTCTATAGCCCCATTGTGTTACCGTATATGTAGAAAAAACTCAGGGTTTAAAGCCACCTATGAACTTTAGCGAAACATTAAATGCTATTTAGTGTCAGGTGCTGTAACTGGTCCGGATCCTCAAGAAAGGGGGTTCCTAAAGTATTAAATTGCCACCGTGCATGAGCTGGGCAAAAACATATTAGATCAGTAATAGCATAACGAGATGAAAATCTACTCGACTGTATTGACAAGGAATTATCTCATTTTAATAGGTAGGTAAAGTTGGAGATAGAGACAACAGTAGTTTTAGCATTTGTAATAAAACAATGTCTTCATTTCATACATTTCTCGGTATTGGACCAACATATTAAACTATAGCTTAAAACACTTTGACTCTTTATATTACCTTTGTATTGTTGAGCCATGTTTATGTAGCCTTGTGAAATGCTTTCGATATTCCATGAACAAGCTTCTCATAAAAATCACATAAATCAGTTTACGAGTAATATAACGCAGTGTACGGCTCTTTCTTGGTGCCCCTGCCAACATCCCTACGAAATCGCTTATTTTTCGGCTTGAGTAACTGCCAAATAAATATAAAATTTTTAAAGCAATGGAATAACATGCTTATTAATTTATATAGACATACAAAAATAAGTATATGTATGTATATATATGTATATTCGTTATGCACAGCCTTTTGTTCGGTCAAACAAAATTCATATTCGTTTTGTTTGATTGCATTTCATTTGTGCTCCTTTGAAAGTTTTGGTAAATATTTTACAGTTTTATGGTTCGCTGGTTCAACAATTTCATCATCAATTTCTCGAAACATGAAAAGCCCATAACATGACCAGATTACAGCTTCAAATCGTAAAAGCAAACAAGCAGCAAAGCAACAAAGCAGCAGTAGTGATAGCGCTGCCAACAACATCAGCCACAGTGAATTTGTTGCTGACGTTGGTGTTGGCCACTCAAGCCAGCAACACAAATCTCAACATGAAAGCAAGTGCGAATGCAGGCATGCTCTGCTGCTCCGCGCCTCAGCGCCCCAGCGCCCCACAGCCGTCAAATTTTGTTACTCATACGCAATGTGTGATTGACTGCACAATAATTGTTCGGTTTAAGTAGCCAATTTCACGCGCCCTGATATTTGTTTGATTTTCTTATGGCCAAGTTAATGCGCTAACAATTTATGTTTATGTTGCTGCTGTCAGTGTTGGTGATTTTATTGCACATTTTCGAAATGCACTCAAGTGTAAAACATAAAAAATCATAAGGAAATACTCGTATATTTTTAAGATTTCTTCCAACTTTCATTGATTTTATGGCCCTTTCGGTAGTGAGGAGAGATTTTGACTTTTATTGTTTATTTTTAAATAATTTGAAGTCTCCCATATTAAAATGAAAATCTAGTGCTATAGATGTTTAATTGGGAGAAAAAATTAATAGTACTACGCAAATGATGAAATGATGAAAACAATAAATTTAATTTAAATAATTTTATTTGCTAAATATGGTAAATTTATTTTTAATTAAATTTAAACGTTGCCCTACTTTTTCTTTGTTACTATTATACAGCTTAAATATAAGCGCTATCCGTAATGCACATATCTACTAATATCTACTAAAACTCTTCGGAATGATAGAAGTTTTTCATGAATGGTAAATGGTGTATTTGATATAAAATCATTACATCAATTAATCGGTAAAATAGGTATCATTAAAGACATCAAAACCTTTCAATTTATAGGGTCAGAACATATACTTGGTACAGATGTGAAAGCATACATTTAACACAAACACACATATACTGAAAGTGCAATCAGAAGAAGCAAGAAGCCGAGAAGGACCAATTAAAACATCACGTTTTAAATGGGCAGAGTTCATACACTCAGTGGCGATAACGACAAACCACCAAAAAGAATACTGAAAACGCAACCTTCGTAAACAAGAAATTGAAGAAGATTTCGAGTAAAATGTTCGACTACAATAAAATTCATCAGCTACACGTCGAAATATATATTCCAATAGATATTGAAGCATATCAATTTCAATGGGCAGAACTTTTACTCAGTGTCGAGTGAACATTACGCATAAGAAAATACTAAAAGCGCAATCCTGAGAATCAAGAAGCCGAGAATGCAACATTTGATGGAATAAAAATAGTCTTAAACTTATGGGCAGCAACGGGAGACAAAAAAAATTAGAAAAGACATTTTATGACAAATAATAATTGATTCTATTTCATTTCTTCGTTATCTTACATATTTCCGGTATTGTTTAAAAAATCGTTTGCTTTCAAGTGAATTTTTGTTCATTGTTAATAAATGTGGCACCGATGGTGACACTGTGGCTAAATATATTTCGCTTCATCAACGTTCTTCTAACTTCTATAATATGATTTTTTAACTACGAGTTCGGGAGTTATTAAAGCTTTTGGAAGTAGATTCACCTCACACATTTGCCATTTCGGCATAAGTATCTAATATGTGGAAACCATATTTAAAAAAAAAATTTATGTACTTCATAATGTTTTGTTCCATTCTAAAAAAATGCACGGACTTATCAACTTCAAATAGTAAACAAAGTAGATATTTTATAAACGTACTTGGCATTTCGAATTTATCCTTCTTAAATATAAGAATGGCTTAAAAATCTTAGTTCTTATATTGAGAAATAGATGAAGCTTCGCGATCGGTGTCGATGGTATGAAATCATCTTTTACCTAAGCATCTGTAGGTTAAATATTTTTATATCAAAACATTAACCTTAATGAGCTTATGCCACACCAACAACATCAAAACTGTTTCCGTACAAATAAATAATTTATGTTTAAATTTTAAGTAAGAGAATCAAACTTTTACTTAGTTTTTATTAAATTTAAAGTTTTTCACTCAATCCTATAATAAATTTTATGCTAATCTCAGTGTCAAAATTGACAAATTTCATAACTTTCAAAAATTTATTTAAAAGGAATAAAAGAAGAAATAAAAGGAATAAGTTAGTTTAAAATTTAATATTCTAGTGCTGCACACACATATTAAGTAAAAATTAAAAGATAATTATTATATTTGTAATAGCTGTTAGAAAATCACTATAAAAAATATTGATAAAATATATGTAAATCCTTTCTCATAGTCATAGATTCACTTAGATTCACTTTTTCTAATGGTGTCCAAATTTTTTCTTAATAGCTTTATTGTGACTTCAGTCATGGATCAAATTTTACAATATCTTTTACACTATCTCCATAAATCTTAAATGTTTCTTTAAGAGATGCAATTCACCATTTCATTTTTTGTTCTTTCAAATTGTTTTGGAACGATAAATCGTATAATTTAAGTATTCTAGAGTATTTAATCTCTTCATTTACATGCATCAAGAGATAAGTGCTCAGATCAAGAGATCTGTTATTAGATCAGATTTAGATTAATTGAATGTCATCTAATTTTTGCTAACATTTATTTTTTATTTCGTTCCTTTTTTTTCAATCGTTTTCAAAATTAGTAGACAATTTTTTGTAAGACTTTATTGTTTATTGGGCAACGTACTAATCGCTAGAGTCATTTGAAAAAAGAAAGATGCACTCTTTTTTTTTAACAATTTTAACTTAGTTTTTTTTGTAAATTCAATCAAAATTTATTGTGTCTGCTTTAAAATAATTTCAAAAATATTTTTCTATTTGTGAATAAATTATTTTATCATAAATTCGGGCCTCATGTGCGGCTTTTAAGTCTAAAATTTCCTCCTTAATGCGCTGTCATTTTTCACTTTTCCATATTTATTGCCCACTTTTTTGTTTATGAAATGTCTCGAATGCTTTGGAGTGAAACCAATAACAAAATGTGTAACAATCATTAGGATTTCACTTCTTATAAATACCCTTTAGCAGACAGTAAACAAGGAATGATAACTCATCCTTGGTAGTCTACATTTTTGGTTCTGGCAAGCTTTCGGTAATGATGAATGGTGGCACAGCTTTTGTGGAAAGTAGCACAGCGTCCTCTTCTGGAGATTGAGAATTATTGTTTTTAATTATTTTTTAAGTTGTCAAGACAAATTGAATTCCAGTGCAATTCACTTTTAAAATTGATTTTCTAACCATTTTCGATTTAATGACACCCTCTTTAAATTATTCGAAAATATATTTTTACTGACATTATCTAAATATTTTCCATCTCTCTTACCAGTTCAGTTTTTTTAATATATTATATATAAATTTAATATTATATTACGATTAATTCTTTGAAATCGCGCTTAAAAAATTCAAAATGAAAGTTTTATATCTTAAAATAGTTTTTGTTTTGAAAGTCTTTTAGTTTTTAGTAAAAACTAATTTTCTCGTGATGTGTATTGTAAAAATTTTAAAATTTTCCTTTCACAACCCTTCAGATATTTTATGTATTCTCTGATTTAGATTTTCTGATTACATTTTTCTTTTTAATTACAGCAATCACTGTTAGCTGGACGCATTCCGGTTGCCTCAATGACTGGTCCAATTAAACGCGGCCTTCTATGGCAACAACGAGACCGTCTGTTTTCACGTTGGAAAGAAAGGTGAGTATTCCTCATGAAAAGTAAAAATAGTCTCAAATAATTTCAATTAAAATGCGCCGAGAACAAAACTTCCATTCATACTCGTAAAACAAAATGAATTTCAGAAATATTTTTCATCCATTTGCAACACTTGTAGGCGAACTTAACCCGCCTCTTGTTGGGTCAAGTGTGCAATGCTACCAGTAAGGACATTACCGACATTTGAAATACAGCACGGACCACGTTGAAAATTCCTGTTAATTGACGGTGCTGATCATTTCGTTTCCATTTCCATTTTTAATGATTTAATGAGTTTTTAACAGAATTGCAAAAAAATAAAATACATAAACCGAACTGAAATATAAATGAAAATACTACATTAGCCATTTGCTTGTCAACAAGAGTAATAATTATAAATTTGAGTTTGAGTACCGCGAAAACTGATATCATTAAATAAAGAGCAATAATCAAAGGATTAACTTAAAATGCGTAATGTTTATTCTGGGGCTTTGATACACAGGCAATTAACTGCAGTGCGGAAAAAATCATAAATATTGGATTAAGCAATTGATTTAAGGTATTGTCAGCCTTAATATGGCATAAACTATTCCATGTAAACATTAGGATGGTAGTTATTTATGAATACTATGTTCTGTTTTTCGTTCTGTGAAATGATTCGAGTAATGAAAAAAATAACTAAATATGAAGTTTTAAGTTTAAATCCGCTATGCTTGGATTAGAGGTCCGCTTTAACCTCTGTTGGATTAAAGTCTGTAAAGATGGTTGCATCAATCTGCTGCAATTAGACGTTTGAAGCGTATCTAATTCTGATTATGATTCTAGTATTGTGTTTAGATTATTAGTACATACATGAGGACTGATCTGATAGGAATTCGTATTTTTATTTAATGTATGTAGAGTCCATGGGCGATTATTCAACATCAGATTGGTGTAAATTTCGTATTTAGTAGTTGTTTAAATAATTTCAGGGGGGTGTGAAGCAAAATCCGAACATATTGTAATGGCCCATTTTTGGTATTAAATAATTACTTAATTGTGGAATGTTAATCTTCATATCGAAAAGTTAATTGCTTTAAAAATGAATCGATTTTATTATTCGACTTCAATTTAACTTAATCAATATTAGTATTTCAAAATGAAATCATTTATGTAAATACATATAATAATATGGATCTAGTCAAATCTGAGTTGGAAGTATAACAAAAAAATTTATTGACTAGAAAAAGTGGCGAATTATATAAGTTTTGGAATAATTGAAGAGAAATAAAGGTTCATGCAGTAACTAAAGTAAAACCCACTTGGAGCAACACTACACAGAAATTTAAAATAGAATGGATTTTATGTATCTGGAATCAGGTATATAATGCAAACGAGGAAATAGTTCAAAATCTAGTTCTTGCAAACGAACGAAATATCTGATGATATATCCAAGGTGCCAGAATCTAGACAAACAGAGGTTTATTTATATTAAATACAAATTACTCTAGTCTTCACGTATGTACATTTTATATAACGTGGAGTCTGAGAAAAATAGAAAGAAAATTAATAAGAATAATGTTGGTTCAAGGAAAGAAGAAAGGGTGTTAGGGCTGTGGCGATACAGTTATGATTTGAAAAACTTGAATTAAAAAGCAAATATTGTACCAAGAATATAAAACGAAAAACTTAGACTCCCTGAGCACATAATAAGAGCAAGTAATGACCTTCCATCCTAAAGTACATTACTTACAACTAGCTATTAGTTGGTTTGTGTCGAAAATGTTGATGATGCAGTGGACATATGTTAACTGTAAATAAGGATACGTGTAGGTATATTCTGATACAGGCGAATACACATGAAGATTGTATAATCAAATGATAATGCATGCTAATACAAACTGATACTATTCGCCTACTAAGGTGTTTTGTTTCAAAATTTTGATACCAGCTATATTTTGATATAACTGGTATTAACTTTTGTGTATGCGAATCACATATAAGATATTACTGCTTATATTTACTTAAGTTGGAAGTAATTATAGATAACCTTACATATAAAGCAACTATCTATACAAGAATATCTTCGAATTTTTTATTGAAGGTGAACAGTATTTGGATTTTAATGAAAACGTCTCTAAATATATTTCATTAAATATGAAATGAATTTCAATAAATAATCAAACGATTTAATAAAATTTTAAATATTTTTTCTTATGTGCATTAAATATTGCTGATTATGTGTGAAGGGTATGTAAATGGAGGCAAAGTTGTAACCAATTCTCTTCTCCTCCTCAGCAACATCAAACATTTAAAATCCTTTGATTTACTTTACCCTGTTCCATATTTTTCAAAATTTTTTATTTTTTGTGAATTCCAACATCAAAAGTAAAAATTATGCAAAATTTTATTCTGGAATATATTTTCATGTTTTCAACAGGAATAATAATATTATTTTCATTGTGCATATAATGAAGCGATGGATTTAATGACGCTGAATGTGCAATTATATTTTAACAGACGAAACGCAATGAAATATCCAAACTGCTGAGTAGTGAAGTAGACTTTATTTATTTATCATACTTTGTACTTAAATATTGAGCACTTAGTACTTAATATATAACACTTTATTGTAAAAAAATAATATCAAATCTCAAAATGGTTACAGGCTCCTCGGGGAGGTATGTTGATCTGAGGTCAATTATTTCTTAGTCCGATGAAGTGATAAACAATAATCTAGTCAAGGTGTAGAGACGGGTTTTGAAGAAACCTCGAGTTAGAAAAGAGTATAAGTGCTTAAGTGCACTAGCTTAAAACAACTTCAACATAATAATATAATTGAAATGATATCAAATCGAAACTAAAAGTAGACATTTGTTGAGAATTCATATAGACTTCATATAGATTTAAAGTTACTTCTATTGCAAATAATGACTTCAGCTATTTGGCTGTGAAATCTATTCTTTCTGATATACAAATTTTTGCTGGCTGGAAGAAGTTGTTTAAAAATTAGTTTAAATATTATTCTTGTAAAATAATATTTAAAATAATTATCCTATACACACAAACATACAATAATCTACAATGACGTATAAAGTGCTGCAATCGTTTAGATTTGTTGCTTTTATCTTAAGTCGAATGGTAGTGTTTATTTATTAAGGAAATTAAGTGGTTTCTTGCTAAAGTGATTTATTTTTAAAGTATAAAAAAAACTTTGCAATTTTGAGTGCACCGCCAAATCGAAAATAATCTGTTTTAAAATTAAACAAACAAACAATCTTCACAATGGACGTCAGCAGACTTCAAAACCAATAAGCGAATTAACTTTAAGCAAAGAAAACAAATAAAACGGTAGACGGTGGGATAAAACCTTGGCTATTTGAGATACTTACAATTAAAAAAACGCAAGTTAACATCTAGAAAGAGACATATTTTTTATTTTATGAATGAGAATAAATTGAACTTCTTGTTAATTTAATTTGAAAACAAAAATCGAATCATAAATTAGATTTAAATTAGTAAAAAAAACAAGCAATTGTTAATAAAGAAAATAAAATGCCGATATATTTAAACATTTTTAGCACTATCCTAGATCATTTATAGAAATCCTTTGGAACATTATTTCTTTATATAGTGTGTACTGGTATGATAGTATAGCGATGGCATGTACGTTCAAATAAGTGTTAATGGTGGCAAGATTTCAATTTGGGAAACTTTCGTTTTTAGTACTTATAAAGAGGTTTACCATCGCTGATCTCGGAGATCACAGTGAACAGACAAACATAGTTTAGTTGATCCAATTTCATATTCGAATATATTTGTTGTTTTCAAAGAGAAATTATTAATTCATAACTAATATGTTATACATTCATAACTAATGAATAAAAAATTGATTTAAAAGTGGTTTTTCTTCAAGTACAAATAAAAGCAAATACGTTTGCGCTAAGATAATAAATTAAAAAGAATATACTTTAGTTGTTTACTGTAAAGGTTGTTTCTCCCATGATCCAGATTTGGAAGCATTGTTTTAATGATATCGAAGAGAACTGTGAACCAAAGCATATCATATATTTAGTTTCAGATTTGCAATATAACAATACAGCTATAGAGTGCATAGAGTATACGATGATTAGATGCTCAAGCCAACGTCTGTAGAATAATTTTTTGTATCAAACTTTCTTCAACGATGAGTCCCATAGCTTGATGGATATTTTTGGCTTGAAATAGATAAAAGAATTAGTGGTTTCAACAATAGATACCGTATCACATGTCTTATTAAACAATCTGTGTTAGATGTTTTGAATTTATAGTGTGGTAAGTTGGCCCCCAAAGAATCTTATTTATTATATTTATACTGAAATATTTGAAAACTTTGATTGAAATCTAAATCGCAAAACCGCTTTATTCACCTTTACGTTTTTGGAGTCATAAAATAAAGAACTCTGTAAATATTTCATATCGCGAGTATGAAACAACTTTTATGCAAAAAAAAAAATAAAAGGTGTTACTTTTATTTAATATTACTTTTAAATTTAACAGACATCAATCTCAGCAGTTGGTACTTGTAGTCCAAAAAAATAAGTACGGACTATTAAGACATATTAGTGAGTATTAACAATATGTTAGTCATATGTTTAATCAAAAAAATAGACTTTATTTAAATTAATTCAGTACAACAATAATTCCTGATGAAGCGAACGTCAAATTTTCTAACAAAAAAATAAAAGTAATTTTATAATAAACTATTTTAATTAATAATATTTGTTTAACAATACAATGTTTATACAAATAAACTAGTTTTTATGAAAAAATATATCTGTAAAATTTATTAAATATTGGTAGTTATAGTTTTCACAACATCACTTGCTTTCTATTTCTATATTACTTAATATTTTAAAAGATTTATTTTTAATATAATATAATAATATTATATTATATTAATTATTATAATATAGCGTTAAATATATCGGCATCACGTTGGACAAACGATTCACATGGCTTAAACATGTTCAACTGAAAAGAAT